AAATCTCCCATCTGGCGCGGCCTGCTGGCCGCGCTTGTCATCGCCTTGGCAGTGCCCGTGCTGACGCAGGCCCAGGCGCCTGCAAAGGAGTACGGGACGGTGCGCTGGCCGGGCGGCGACATGTACAGCGAGGCCAGCTTTTCTTCCACGTCGCTGGGATCGGTATCACGCGGCGAGAAGGTGGAGTTCCTGGCGCGTGACGGCATCTGGTGGAAGGTGCGCTACCAGGGCAAGGAAGGCTGGATGAACCGCATCGTGATTGAAAAAATCGACAATCCGGCCCCACCTCCACCTCCGGCAACAACAGCCGCAGTATCGGCAGCAACACCCGCACCGGCGCCCGTCGCCGCACAGGTTTCGGCGGCACCTGCTGCGCCATCACCATCCGCGCCCAATTTTTTAAGCGCACTGCAGGCGCTCATCGCACCCGCACCTGAGGCCCCACCCCTCACCAACACCGGGCATGCCGTGGTGTTCGGCATCTCGCAATACGCACCCAATACCGGCATACGCGACCTCAAGGGTGTGCCGCGCGACATGGACAGCGCCGTCGCCATGGCTCAGCTGATGGGCATATCGCAGGACAGGGTCAGCATCTACCGTGACAGGCAGGTCACCAAGGCAGCGATGAGCGCCACGCTTGCGCAGCTCGCCAAGGACATCAAGCCCGATGAACCCGTTCTCATCTACTACAGCGGCCATGGCGGCCGCACGGCGGACCCCGCCAAACCCGGCAGTTGCCTGGAAGGCCTGATCACCTACGACCAGGCCCTGTTCAGCAGCGCCGAAATGGCAGAACTGCTGCGCCCCCTGTCCCGCATCACTGACAACCTGTTTGTATTTTTCGACGCCTGCCACTCCGGCGGCCTCACAGCCACGCGCGCTGTCGGCGGCCAGCAGCGGTTTACGCCCAAATTTGTGGCGCGTGCCGATGGTTCCAACTGCGCCGAGGTCGCCAACATGCTGCGCACCCCGCCCGGCGGCACACGCGCAGTCGGCAACAAGTACATCTACGCCGCTGCTGCCCGCTTCAACGAGGTATCACTTGACGACGAGCAAAGCGGCGGGCTGGCCACGTCCAGCTTTCTGCGCTGCATGGCCACCGGCCGGGGCCGATCACAGACGGTTGATGAACTCCGCGCCTGTGCGCAGGAAGGCATCAACCTTGCGCTGGCAGGCAACACCCAGTTCAAGCCGCACAACATGACCATCACTGGCGACCTGAGCTACCGGCCTGTCAAAGGCGACCTCAGCGCCGCGTTCAAGGAACAGCTGCTTAGCAGCGCTGCCCAGGGCACGCTGGCCAACCGCCCGGCTGCCGCCAAGTCGGCCTACCTCAGCAGCGCGTTGACAACGCAGGGCTGGCCGCAGGTCTACAACCCCCAGCAGGCCTTTGACGCCATTGCAGAGCGCAGCGACAAGGCCCTGCCCTTGCTGGTGGAGGCGCCCTCCACCCTGAAGATTGACAGGGAGAACCTGCAGATGAAGGTGCAGGCCCCGGCGGACGGCTACATCTACGTTTTCCAGGCGACCGGTGACGGCAAGAATGCGGTCATGCTGTTCCCCAACACCAGCGACCGCGACAACCGCGTCAGCACCGGGCAATCACTGAACCTGCCGCGCCAGAGCTGGCCTTTGGTGGCTGGCGGCCCCGAAGGCGACAACCGGCTGATGGTGATCTTTTCAAGAAACCAGCGCGACATAGGCCAGCTGGTCGGGCAGGAGGCGGGGCCCTTCCTGGATCTGGCCGTCTCGCCCATAGGCATGCAGGCGCTGGCGCTGGCAGTCAGCCGCTCTGCCCACGCAGAAGAAGCAGATTGCATGGCCAGTGGCAATGCCGGAAACCGGCCCGCGTATTGCACACCAGGTTTCTCGGCCACCGTTAAAACCATACGCGAAACACGCTAGCACCGGCAAACAGGCGCACTACGTCAAAAGGCCAAAATGTTAAGTTAGAAGTTAACATTTCGGCCTTTTTGGCTTCAGGGCGGCCTGTAAACCCGCCAGGCAAGCCTGAAAAACGTAAAAACAGGCTATTTCAGGTGCCAAAAACGGCTGCAGCCCTTTAAATACGTGCGTGAGCAGCTACGAAAAGAATAGCAAAAAAAACGCGCACGCGCGACTAACGCTTCTCGGGCAACCTGCGGAACTCGTCCCAGACGGCCTTGCCTTCTTCCTGCAACATTTGTTGTGGCGCAAGCACCCGCTGTGGATAAGGCCTTGTCATGTCATCGTAGACATTGAAGTTGTTTTCGGGCCAGCCGGAATCGCGCCAGCCGGCGGCGTAGAAGATCTTGTCGATGCGCGCAAAGTAGGCTGCCGCATAGCACATCGGGCAGCATTCGCAGCTGGTGTAGAGAACGGCGCCCGGCAACTCGATGGACCCGGCAACGCGGCAGGCTTCACGGATGGCATTGACCTCGGCATGTGCTGTCGGGTCACGGTCTTTCCACACGGTGTTGCCGGATGTGGCGATGACTTTGCCATCCCTGACGATGACCGCACCAAACGGAAACGAGCTTCGGTCGATCACGCCGACCTGGCGCATGACACGTATGGCTTCGCGCATGTAGACCCTGTCCTGGTCAGTGATGACTGAGGTTACGCCGCGCGCACCGCCCAGGCGTACAGGCGGATCTACCGGCGCGTCAGCCGCCTGTGCGCCAGCCGCCCCCATGCCACCGGCCGTCGCCATGGCCGCCGCAGCCAGGAAGTTACGGCGTTTGACCATGGAGAACCCAAGGTAGTCGCTGTCCGCGTCTGGACGGGCATCGGGGGGCAGAAGAGGGGTGCTGTCATTCATGATCGCCGCCTTTCAAATGCAGCGCCTTCCGCGCGTGGCTCGCGCGTTTGCTGCACCAGCCAGTCTAGCGTCCCAAATAAAAATCCGCGCTATTCATTTCACGGGTGGCATTGACATAACTTGCAACCGTGTTCGGCCAATGCGTAAAAACGCCGCCGTCACCGCCGGCCCTGTAGTAGCTCTCGCAACCGCCTTTCACCATGACGCTCGCGTTTCCCCAGCGCTCGATCTGTTCATTGAATGCGTCCTGGACTTCCGGCCGCACTTCAATGCTCCGGACGCCCATAGAGTCGACCTTCCTGATGCATTGCCTGATGTACTCTGCCTGCGCCTCCACCATTGAAGACAGCGATGCAGCCGTCGCATTGGGGCCACACACCATAAAGAAGTTGGGGAATCCCTTCATCATCATTCCAAGGAATGCCTCAGGCCTGTCACCCCAGACTGCAGAGAGCGATTGCCGGGTACGCCCGACAATATTGAGTTCACCCAGCATTTTTGACGTCTTGAATCCCGTCGCCAGAATCACCATGTCAACGGCGTATGCCTCCCCCCCGGGTCCGATGACACCCTCCTCAAAGAAAGCAGTCACGCCGCCAGCCACAGCTTCAACATGGGGTTGACTGAATGACTGGTAATAAGCGTTGCTGACCAGGGGCCGCTTGCAACCAAAGCGGTAATCCGGGGTCAATATTTTGCGTAGGGACTCGTCAGCCACTTCCTGCTCAAGGTATGTCTTCCATGCTTGCTCGACCTGGGCAATAGCCCCCTCGTCCATAGGGAAGCGGGACATTAG